CTTCCTGTACTTCTGTCTGCTTGTGCTTGCCTTTTCTGTCAACTCACCTGTTATCCTTTTCCTCTCATGGTCTGCTGCTGCCATTTCCTTTGTTTTCTCTTTTATTTCTCTGCTTTGATCCTCTAATCTGTTTAATTCTCTCTTTTTCACCTTAATATGCATTTTCGTTTCTTGTTCTGTTTTAGTTTGGTTTTGTCTTCTGTCTCTCTCTATCTCTCTTCTCACTCTTTTAACATTCTGCTGTCTGCAGACTAACCTTATTCCTCACCCATCATCTTGTTTCTCCCTCTTATCTTTTCTTCTTTCTCCCACTCTTTCTCAGCTCTTCTCAACAATGAAAGTTACTCACGGGTTAGTGGGGGATGCATCTGGCCCCTGCTGGCTCTTGTTCTCTCTCCTTTGTTCTGAATACGCTTTTGTTAGAAACACAACAGAAAAGTGCAAAATCATCTCTCAAGGCAAACGCTGCATAATAATTCTCCTTGTTTATTCTCCTCTTATCTCTGAAGAATTTGTTCTCCAGGCAAAACAGGAAGAAACATGAGAAGGGATTCACCGCAATCCTTTGGAATTTGAATGCAGAACAAAGAGGGGTGGAAAGTAACTTAAGGAGAAAAAGAGGCAGGAAAGAACTTCGTGGAACATTCCCAGTTGACTAAATACTGAGAAGATATGACAAAGCAGCTAGGCTAAGGTGGAATTTATTTTGCCAGGAGCTTACTTGGACAGCAAGTGTAATGATGCTAAGTTGATCAGTTCTTTTCCCAGTAAGTCGTGGAGGCATGGATGATATAATTTTATTTTTTTTTTTAGTACTCAGCTTCCTATGTCTTCTCATTGTATCTTCTGAGCCAAGACTTTGTGGATATGAAATGTGTTTGCCAGAGAGAACAATGCCTCTTGGTGCTCCACTGCTATACTCAAAAAGACAAAACAAGGTGCTTCTGGCTGGACCATTTTCCAGCTCCAACCCTTGTGATAAAATATGAATAGGCTTGCTTGTTGTTGAAGTTCTTTCTTAATGCTGAATAAGCATTCTCTGACAAAAACAGCTGGAGAATGTAGGTTACTTGGAAATGAAACATTATTTGGCATGCACCATTTTAATTACGTAAGAGTTCCAAGCAAAAGAAATGAAGCTTCTCAAGTGTACAATGAGTCTTTCCCAATTCACATTGTTCTATGGCTAGGATACTAGTGTATCCTATTGTGGGGCACTCAGCATGAAGTTCTGCCTGGCCCTTGCCTTGAAAAACTGGCTGGCTGACAACTGGTAACCTGCAGTGAGCCTCCATCTTCATGCAATTAATACACTTGCTCTCTACAACTACCTGAAAGCAGGTTGTGGTGAGGTGTGGGATCAGTCTCTTCTGCAGCCTAACTAGCGATAGGACTAAAGGGAATGGCCTCAAGTTGTATTCAGGAATATTAGGATATTAGGAATAATTTATTCTCTGAAAGAGTGGTCAGGTGCTGGAACAAGCTGCCCAGGGAGGTGGTTGAATCACCATCCCTGGAGGTGTTCAAGAAACGTTAGATGTTATACTAGGGCAAATGGTTTAATGGGGAAATATTGGTGGTAGATGGACAGTTGGAATAGATGATCTTGGAGGTCTTTTCCAACCTTGATGATTCTATTATTCTATGATTGTATTCACATACATAAAACAACTACAACAACACACACACACACAAAAAACCGACAAAGAAACAAAAACCTATTTCAACCTTATTAAGTAGATAGTTTTAATTGGTGCAGTATCAGGTATCTCTGCTAAGAAGGCCTTAAAATACTTTCCCAATAGCTACTCAAAGGATGATCTTCATAAAAACAATGTGGGAAGTAGATGTGTGTACTAGGAAAGAAACAAAAGTGTTATTTAAGAGGAACAGACTGTGATGCAAACTTCAAAGCTATGTATTTCAGTACTACCAGACTAACTGGAGGAAAACCAACTGAAATGGGAAAATGGGGTATTTTCTCCTCATTTTTTAAGGAAATTTCTTTCTCGGTGATGTATTTTCAGCTTCTGTCTCTTTTTTACTGCTGTTTACTCCATCAGCTCTATAAGGATAAGAAACCATCATTCAGTTTGTTCTGCATCTTGTATCAGAGATGTAATTTTCAGTCAAACTTGTATTGCTTCTAAGTTGGACTAGAAGTTAAACATGTATTTAAACTAATATAATCAAACTTTGTGATTAATGCAATCTTGAAATATGAATTTCCCAGCACTTGCAACTGAGTCATGTGAGCCAAGAAGAAAGTTGTGATGCAATTTGAGCAGATTTTTTTTCTGTCCGGAGATTTCCTCTGAAATTTAGAAATGCTTAGACTCTCTTCAAATACAGCAACTTCACAGATTAGCCAGTAATTGAATATTCAGAGCTATGCCAGAGATTGAGACATCTATGTAATCAGATTTAAGGTGGAGTTTGTTATGCATGCAATTAAGTGGAAAATAAGATAGGAACAAGAAAAATAAATGTGATTCAAGATCAGTCAGCGTTAGGGAACTAGGGCTAGATCTGGCAGCCCTGTAGAAGCAAGGCTCCACAGCTCCTCGATCCCAAATGCAACCAGGCCTATAATCCCAGTAGTGACACGTACATGAAAAGATATGTTTACCACGTAAATACCTATATATGTGACCCCCACACAGGCACAGCATTTACATGAGCAGAAGGGCAGTCTGACAATGTGGCATTTGACATGGAAGTGTATGTGAAGAAAATGAATTTCTCTACAAGGGAAAAACTGCGCATGTTGACATTCATTAACCCTTGCTCAGTATTTATGGAAACTAAACAGTGGATGTGAGGACAGTGGATGGTACAATGGATGTGGTGACAGTGGATTACCTCCACTGGTACAGATTTTTACAAGCACAGCATGAAGGCTCTTTCTCATCACAGGTGAAAATGCATAGCTAATGGTGGTGACTATGTTGAAAAACTGTGTTTTGTAGCTGAGAATTTGCTCTATCCAACAGTGTTATTGTGCCCTTTGTGTCTGCTGGGAGTTTCCATGGAAAGAAACAGGAGGCATTACTTTTGGAGTAACATATCTACAGATAGTCAGTCCATTCCTGAATCACAGTCTTCCCTTTTGCTGGCACCCAATCATTTGAGACCTGAAGCCTGCAGCCATAGTCCAGTTTCTGACACAGATAGCCTCTCTGGCAGCTGTCTGGAACTCTGCTGATCCTTCCAAGAAGCAGCTCCTTTACGCTCATTGCTTTGCAACTTCCTGCACACCTGGGTTCATTTCACCACAGGCACGTAGGCTCCTCTGATCCACAGTCCTACTGCAGTGGCTGATACTCAGGCTTTCATGCACACACCCAAAATGGGGTGTTCATCACATAGGAAAAGAGTTAGAAATGAAATTTAGTGGCAAGTCAGGACAGACTGTGCAGGTGAGGCATAGAGAAAAGCACTGGTCAGCCACAGATGTAGATGGGACAAAACCTTATTTTCCCTTATTTCTCCACTTTGCCACACTTGTTCCTCTCCGAATGACCCAGACTATTCCCTTCTTCCACTTCTGATTCTTCCCCTTATTGTAAGCCCTGTGAAAAGTGCGTCCCGTGCCGCAGTGCACATCCCCACCTCCCCATCCCGGCCTGAAAGGTGCTCCGACATCGCTCAGAGCTTTGGGTTTCACACCTGGACAATGGAGCAGCCCCGGGAGTGGCCCAGTCAGGTGATATTTCCTCTGAGCCCCTAATTGCTTTCCCATATGCCATTTTGCCCCTCTGGGCATGTAGAGATGACACTTTGATGTGCTGATGGCTCCGGTAATGAGCCGAGGAGGATCTGGCCAGGGCTTTGTTGTATATCTCCTCCCGTTATTGTCTGTCCGTGCTCCTCTGTGGGAGTGCAGAGGATCTTTTATCATGTAACCTAAGAAAAAGGAACATGCAGACTTCCTTTTACACAACAGCTTTTCTTTTTTTTAAAATTTTCTCCTGATGGCGACATGATTTCAGCAACACAAAAAGGCCCGTGAAAGGAGTGAGGAAATTGTTACCCTATGTGAACTATAAATTTTCAGTTATGTACCCATCTGTGATCAGGTGGGAAAGAAACAGTAACGTAGTAAGTAGTAGCGAACTTAAAACGTCCCTCAGATTCCTCGGAATCTGGTAACAAAAATGATGAGCAAACCCCAGATGATTTTCCATTGCAAGGAAATGACATCATGACAACCTCCTCTGACTGCAACTTCATCCCTGCCCCGAGTCTGAGCTGCTACCATTCCCAAAATGTTCACAAGAATTCAGTGAAGACGACTGTTGTTTGACAATATTTTTGTCTGGAATTGGAAGTACAGCTCTTCGTTGCTCTCCTGGTAGAAACATGGCAATTTTTTTTCTTAATTTAAATTTAAATTTTATTTTTTACCTGAAGGATGGGCTGCAAATGAATTTATAATACAGGAGCCAGGTTGATTGGAAAGTGTGCTAGTATGGGACTAAGTGCAGCTGCAAAGACACACCCCAGGCTTTATAAGCCACCGCTTACAGCTTTTTTTTTTTTTTTTTTTTTTTTTTTTTAATATATATATATATCTTTAAGCAAAACAAGTAGCGAACAAAAACCACACCCAAGCATCCAGAAGTCTCCTCCAGAAAGTACGAGTTAGGAATTAGCACCCAGCGCTTTTGCCCATGTGCGCTCCCTACCGCGTCCAAGCATTTTTAACTACAGCTTCAAAACAACGTTCTCCACGCAATCCACTGGCGTGTACTACCATCAGCTGATATCTGCGCAGCATCAAACCTGCAGAGAACTGCAGGAGCTGCCCCGCACCCTCACAAATTTTTCCTGCAGCCGAACAGCATCAACAACTGGCTGCGCATCCCGAACCACTTCGGCGCACGGCAACCGAGGGGCGGCACCGGCCGCCGCGGCCACTCCTCCCCCGGCTCCTCCTCTGTCCCCCTCCCAGAACTGAGCCCATAAACCCCCTCCCCTCCCCCCCGGGGGGCTGTTGGGTGCGCTGTCACGCAGACGCCGCAACGGTGCGTGCGCGTGGGCGGAGTAGCTGTGGGGTTCAGTTAGGCTGAGTGCGGGCGCTGGAGCGGTTCGTTGCGGGAGATGGCTGACAAGAAGGTGAGGAGTTGCGGGCGGTCTTCTCGTCGGAACTGATGCAGAGCTCGAGCCGCTGCCCCGGAGTGCTGGGGGCCCTCGGCGGGAGCGGGGGGATCTGGTCGCGGCTGGCGGCGGGTCGCGGTTCATCGCCGTATCGTCACCCGCCGCCATCGGGTTGCGAACGAGATGTGGTGGCAGGCCGCGGTTCTCGGCTGGCGGCTCGGCGAGATTCTGTATGTCACGAAAGGACGGGGAGCTTATCTGGCAGTGTTTGTGCAGGCCGTGGGGTTGATCCGTTGGTGCGTGTTACCGGCTGCCCGCGTGACGCCGTCTATATTTAATTCGCTTCGATCACGACGTGTCTTTTGTTGGCTGGGTAGTGGTCATCTGTCCCAGAGTTAATAGCAGCGGATTTGTGATACTTAAATGTTTTGTTGGGAACGTTAAAACTGTCCCTCGATTTCCAGAAGAAAATAGAGCCAAGCCCTTTCCCTGTTCTATTATAGAGAACGGGGTGCGCTCGGCCACGATGATCTGTGCAGCCGTGGGCTGCGGTGAGTTTAGGCGCATCCAGAGAGAGAAGCGGCTATCCTGGAGCAGGATAACCGAGGGATTTCTACTCGGCGAGAAGGGGGCAGTGTTAGGGAGCCTCGTGCTCTCGTCTCCATGTTAACGGGACGTGAGGGGCGTGTGAGAAGCTGAGATAAAAGGAGGGAGAGAGAACCGACGAAAGTCACTCGGAGTGTGGCAGAGGCATCTCATGCTGGATTTAAAAAATTGTGCTGCTCTGAGGTTGCTATTAATGAAGGAGAGGGGAGCTGAAGGAGCGGCTGGGTCAGGCCATGTGATATGGTGTGAGACTGGATGGGAGTTGAATAACTGTCGATAGTCAGGAGAATGGAACATGAAAGGTGGTGAGAAAGAACTAATCTTATTATAATTTGATTCTGTATAGACCATATAGGCAAGAGGTGCTCACAAAGCAAGTGTCCTATAATTCCTGCTGTGTCCAGAGGAAAAGGGTCAACTATGACTACTACAAGCAGGGCCTTGAGAGGAAGGATGCTCTTATGTCAGTTACTGTGTTGGAAGTGTGGACAGGTGAACTTTGATCTCAGCTTTGGTATACCTGCTAAGGGGAATAAGGCCTGGAGTCTTGAAAGGGCTTAGATGTCTTAATTGGTGTCTAGGTGCTTTGGAAGATTGGTTCTGTGCCAGAACTTCTTGCACCAAAAAGAGAATGGTCACAGGATGGCAGATAGAAGGCAAACCTTGTTCAGCTGTGAATAATAGCAGGAGAATCATCTGCTCGATGCAGGAATATTGGAATATATCCCTTAACATGAGATATTTAAATGATGTAGCCGAGGGAAACCATGCATTAATTTACTTTCTTTTTATTGAGGCTTAACTGGTAGCTTTGTGGGGGGTGTACTGGCCAGAAGCACTTACATGCCTGGAAGTGTGGTACAGATAGCATGAATACTGACAGGTTTCTGAAGTCAGCTGGAAAATGAGAGACTGGAGGTGCTGTGACAGCAGGCCCTGTGGACTACTTCATACTCCTCTGCCAGCCTTAGGAGAATAATTGAAAAGCCTTGTAGTTCTTGAAAGCTTTCAATTGCTCCTACAAGCAAAACATGGTATTTCCAAATAATGCCCTGGAAGTATTGGCTGTGTAAGTCCTAACTCCAGAGTCACTTGCTCCCTCCTGCCTCCTTAACAGCTGGGTTAAGCTGTTTTTAAGCTGCAAACTTAAAAACAAAAAAACAACAACAACAACAACAACAACAACAACAACAACAAAAAAAAAAAACAACAAAAAACAAACAAACAAAAAAAAACCCAAACAAACAAAAAAACCAGCCAACAACAACAAAAAAACCTGGAAAATATCAGATGCTTTTCTCTGACAGTTAAGTCTCTCAGTCTTTGGGACTTTTGCAGAGTGGAGCTGCTTCCTCAGTGGCTTTGAGTGTTGGATAGTTATTAAATTAAAAAACAAACAAACAAAAAAACCCCAAAAAACCCCCAAACATATAGAGAGATTCATATATACTCAAATTCCAGGAGCTGTGCTTTGTTTTGAATGTTCACTATTGACTCAGTGGCAAGAAAAATAAATGAGGAATGCTGGCAGCACAGCCTTTTCTGTGAGGGAAGCTGCTGTGCCAGATTTAGGGGCAGAGCTGGGGACTTCTAGCCTGGGAAAAGCAGATCTGCTGCTGAAGTGTGCAAACTTTAACTGTTAGAAGTGACTGCCAGTGTAGCCCTTATGTAGATTTGAGAAGCATTAGCAATATTATATCCATATCCCACTTATTTTTGGGACTTCCTCAGTTGGAATGAGGAAGAGTAAGACCCTTGTTTCATTACATGTCAGAGATCAGCAGAGCTTTTTTACGAAGCAGATCAACCTAAAATAACAGCTGCTGATGGAGCTGGTGTGTTCATTACTAATGAGCTGGAAGTAGTCAAATGTCATGATGTATAGATGTAGGACCTGGCAGGCTCTCCTTCTAGTCACAGAACTGTTACTGTTCAGTTGTGCCTGTTTCCAGACTCTGTTGTTGGTACTTACCCTCACTGGATACAAGCATGTTCCTTTACCTTTTTGCTCTTCATCGAAATTGGCCCAGCTATGTCTTCTATTTATGCTGAAGAGAAACTCAAGTTATGTAGAAAGCATGAACTACCAATTAACCAAACAATTACATTCTCTTTTTTTTTTTTTTTTTTTATTCAGAAAATCACTGCATCCCTTATCTATGCTGTTACTGTTGCTGCCATTGGATCTCTCCAGTTTGGATACAACACTGGTGTCATTAATGCTCCTGAAAAGGTGAGAGGAAGAATGCATTTGGGAAGAAAATGTGTGTAAATGTGCTAGGGAGGGAAAAAAAATAGCATAGGAAGGAGAGAGGAGCTGACAGGCAGCTAATAGTTTAGTTGTGGTGTTTGAATTAAAGGAAAGAGGACCATTCAAATGACACGAAATTTACTGGCGAGGAGAGAGATCAGATTTTAATTTGGAGTGCAGAGTTTTGCTGAAAGGAAGGGGTCCATCTGCCATTTCCTGGAATGCCACCAAATTCCGGGGTTGTCATTTTATTTTTAGTAGTTTTGATCTTTCCCCTTCTCCTTTAGGACACAAGAGGAGAGGAAACACAATTCAGTTATTTCTGCCAGGTGCTACTCTGCTCCAAACTCTTACAAATTGAGTAAGAACGTGCTTCTGGCCTGTTGCACCAGGTCAGGAGATGAGGCAGAATATTCTGAGTCAGAATGAAACAGCTGGGGCAGAGAACGCATGTAGAGAGCAGTGCACAGATAAGCTGAGAGGGTTGGTAGGGATTACTGTTCCTTTAGTTTCTCTAAGGGCCTCTGGCTTGTTCATTTATTTATTTGTGTTAAGTGTCAATTCAGTGTTTGTAAAAGACAAATCATGCTTATACCATCAGAAAAAAGAAGATGAAGAAAATGAGAAATGTGTTTTTCTTGTAATTGATGGTTCTTTCTCAAGAACTGAGTCACCATTACCACATCCACACACTTCCAGGAATAGATGTCACATCACATCCTGGGGGGTAGGGTCCTTCCTAGCTAATGTCCTGCTGCCATCTGCTGGGAGCTGGCATTCTGAGGCCACATCCCCTTCAGTTCTTGCAGTGTTCCCTTCGTTAACAGAGAGGATACCTCAGATTGAAACACAGCCCTGTTAATGTTGCATCTCACTTTGTCCCAAGGAACAGTGAAGAATTGTTTTGCATAATGCTTCTGCTTTCAGGCTTAACTTGGAGGAACTTCATATGTTTCTTGAACTATTTTTCTTGCAGAGAGCCCTTCTCTATTGCTAGATTTCCAGTGTTGCCAGAAATGTTCCTCTCTGTTCTCTGGCTGTTTTTCTTATTCTCTTTCACTCCCATCTCATGCCCGAAACATCAGCAGTGACCCTGATCATCTGAAAACATTCAGAAGATAAGCCCACTTTCCTTAATTATGCCAGCTCTATGTGAAACAATCCATTTCTTATCATTCTACGACCAGTCTCTGAACTTCTTGGTGAAACTTTTATTCCTCTTTCATCACTCTGATTTCTTCCTTGTATAACCTACTGCTTTCTACTGAATTCTTAATGCCTATTTTTGCTGCATAACTCCTTGAAAATAGACCATCCCAAATTTTTTTCCTAAATTCCTCTCCCATGGGGTTGGAAACCTTCCTTATCTATTTGGGTTTCTCTTGCAGATTATCCAGGCCTTCTTCAACAGAACTTTATCTCAGCGGAGTGGGAAGGCTATCTCCCCAGAGCTTCTTACCTCACTATGGTCCCTTTCTGTGGCAATCTTCTCAGTAGGAGGTATGATTGGCTCCTTCTCAGTCAGCCTTTTCGTCAATCGATTTGGCAGGTAAGTTGGGAAGATAAATACAAGTTATTAGTGAATTTATGCTCTGCAGTAGAATTTTGGGAGGAAGAGGGCAGAGATGAGAACTGTTGCACGCCAAGGCTGAAGCTGAACAGGAAATACAGTTCTCTCCCTGCTCTCAGGATAAGAGTCATGGATAGCTTTATCTTTCTCCTTATGGTTTTCTTGCTCTGTTACTAGTTAAAGCTCAGCCTTGGTATTTCTGTCTTGGCAGGAGAAACTCCATGCTGCTGGTGAACATCTTGGCTTTTGTTGGGGGTGCTCTCATGGCCTTATCCAAGCTTGCAAAGGCAGTGGAGATGCTGATAATTGGGCGCTTCATTATTGGCCTTTTCTGTGGTCTGTGCACTGGCTTTGTTCCCATGTACATCAGTGAGGTCTCACCCACCAGCCTTCGTGGAGCCTTTGGAACCCTCAACCAGCTGGGCATAGTTGTAGGCATCCTGGTGGCCCAGGTAGGCTTGACAGACTTCTACTTGGAGGAAAAGGGTATGTGAGGAAAGGCTTTGTGGACTTGATCTTGTGAAGTTGTCTGACTTTGTCATTAGGAGCAGTATCTTGTCCTCTCATACTCTATTTCAACAACTTTATTTCTCTCAAATTCTTGGTGTAGATTTTTGGCCTCAAGGAGATAATGGGAACTGAAGCACTTTGGCCACTGCTGTTGGGGTTCACGATTCTCCCAGCAGTTCTGCAGTGTGTGGCTCTTCTTTTCTGCCCTGAGAGTCCCCGTTTCCTGTTGATCAACAAGATGGAGGAAGAGAAAGCACAAACAGGTAAGAACTTCTCTCTGAAGGGGCAGGACTGTATTTTGATTCCCTGCTCTGAGCTTGAGTGGAAAGCTGAGATTGTCTATAGAATCTGCGGTAGACAAGAATGTGAATCCCAGAGGATACTAACCTTTCCCTCCCATCTTTTAAATTGTACCAGTGTCAAGAGTTGAGAAACCTGTAATCCCAATGAACTCCTGGTGGGATTAAGAAGCTAGGAGTGGCACCTGGCCAGGTGGGATGTGGCAGTACCAGCTGCTGCAAATATCAGCTTCACCTAAAGCAAATTTAACAATGGATTAGGAGGGATCTACTCCTACCACAGAGGCCTGGAATCATCTCTGGCAAGAATGAGGGATCAAATGCAAGTTCAGAGCACAAGTAACATGAAGAGTGTCTAGGGTCTGAGTTTGGTTTCCATGGTGATCACAGCTCCCTGAACTGTGAGTTGAAAAGATGAGCAAAAGCTGCACGTAGGGACTCTGTCTTTGCAGCAGAGCAGGCCCAAGCACAGGCTTGTATATGGTTCTGTCTTCCCAATGTGCTTTCCCTCAAATAGCAGAATGGTCTGGGGGAACTTACTGGTTCCCCTGTGCTGAGGTATGGACTCTGTTTGCAGAACTCATGGGAATATTCCATGTTATGCTTTTGGATTCTTTCCTGCAGTTCTCCAGAAGCTTCGTGGTACACAAGATGTATCTCAAGACATCTTGGAAATGAAAGAAGAGAGTGCTAAAATGTCTCAGGAAAAGAAAGCAACTATACCAGAGCTCTTCCGCTCTCCAAACTATCGTCAAGCCATTATCATTTCCATCATGCTACAACTCTCTCAGCAGCTCTCAGGCATCAATGCTGTGAGTTACCTTTGTCATGTCTATTGGGCTTCTGGGTGTACTTGTGCTTCAAGGTAGCTGCTTGCTGTTTGACTTGCTGCTTGCTGTCTTTCAAAGACATCTTTTGTCTGGAAAACATTTCTTTGTGATAGTGTAGAGGTTGCGAAGATGAAGATGACAATCATTTTGGCCTTTATGTGTCCTGCACATACCCTGGCAGGACGTTAGATATGCATCAAGCAAATGGAACTTGACTGGAATTATGCTGTTGATTGCTTTTACACTGCTGAGTGCTTGTTAGGATTGTGCCATTAAGTATGGAATGAGGAACATGCTTTCAAACTCTAAGACTGCAATGGTATCCAACTTTTTGCTTCTCTTCCTAGGTATTCTATTATTCTACAGGGATTTTTGAAAGAGCTGGAATCAGACAGCCTGTGTATGCCACCATTGGAGCTGGTGTGGTAAACACAGTCTTCACTGTTGTATCTGTAAGTAGAACAAGGCCTTCTCGTGAGAAAAGTTGCTTGTCTGCAGGTGATCTTTTGAGAGATGTGACTGAAGACAGGTAGTTGTGCTGTGGTAAAGCAGTAGTTGATTACTGGACTACAAGAGCAAAGAAAAGAATGCATTAAAAGTATTGTGGGAGAAGTGAACATATTTTAAGAGGGAAAAAAATGAAGTAAAGGATGAACGTAAGAGTGTTGGTGGAGGTAGAAGATGAGGGAAGGCAGTAAGAAGAGAAATACTTGTACTGAAGAGCAACTTGATGACTTAACGTTGAGGAATACAGGAAGATGCGAAAGAGGTGCAGTGCATGCTAACTGAGGGAGCCTCTTCTGCTTTTGCTACTTAACTTATTTAATTCTTTGTGTTTTCAGCTGTTCCTGGTAGAGCGTGCAGGGCGCAGGACTCTCCATTTAGTTGGTTTGGGTGGCATGGCTGTGTGTGCTGCTGTTATGACTATTGCTTTGGCTCTGAAGGTGAGTAATTTGTTTTATCCAGACTGACCCTAGTAGGGGATCTATAAGACTAGTTGTAGAGGGCTGACTTTCAGAGCAAGACATTTATAGCTGGGGCAAGGGCTTATCATGGGCTGTGGCTAGAAGTGCAGTTTCTTTATGGCAGGAGCTGTGCTATAGCATTAACAGTACAACTAAGAGAATGATGTGCTGTGTCATGTTTGCTTTTCAGATTGCAGTTAATTGTATCTTATTTCCTTGCAGGATGCTGTGGTGTGGATCAGATATATCAGCATTGTTGCCACTTTTGGCTTTGTGGCCCTTTTTGAGATTGGCCCTGGACCTATCCCTTGGTTCATTGTGGCAGAACTTTTCAGTCAAGGCCCACGGCCTGCAGCCATGGCAGTGGCTGGTTGTTCTAACTGGACCTCTAATTTCTTAGTGGGAATGCTATTCCCCTATGCTGAGGTAAGGACTCAGTTTGCAGAACACTTCAAGAGAGCTGCAGCATTGTCATGGGTATCCAGATTGGCTGTAGAATTTTTGGTGTTAGCAGCCTGATCTTGTTGAATTTTGGCTCTGCTTTGGGCAGATGGCTGAATCCCTTGAGGGGTCCCCAAGTCTGTATTCTGTTTGTTATTGAAGGTTAGAGTGTTGTAGCTAGCCTTACATTCTGCTTTGTTACTTTTTGTAGTCTAGAGCCATTTTAATACATTTAAACTTTTCCTTTAAAAGCCTTAGTTCTGGACAACCAGAACCAGTATTAAATCACTTCAGAAGTCCACAGAAATGTGGTACTTTGAAAAAGATCTTTGTGTTGAGGACAAGTCAATGAGGGCATTGCAGGAGAAGGAAATGACTTCACTTCTAATTTTTTTTTTTCAAATTAAAACCTTCTGTTTTTATTCTTACTGCAGAAATTATGTGGCCCCTATGTCTTCCTTATCTTCCTTGTTTTCCTGCTCATCTTCTTCATCTTCACGTACTTCAAAGTGCCAGAGACCAAGGGCAGGACTTTTGAAGACATCTCCAGGGGCTTTGAAGGACAAGCAGAAACATGCTCCCCATCCTCGTCACCTGTCGAGAAGAATCCCGTGGTGGAGATGAACAGCATAGAACCTGAGAAAGAAGTTGCCTAAGATTCATGACACACCCCTTCTTTTGACTCTTACGTATTCATAGATTCATTAAAGGAATGAGCAAAGAAATTACAAGAACTGGAACAGTTTATTTCTCTAACTGCTGCTATTTTCTTCTCTGTATTCCTCTATACTTCTCGTTCCCCCTATTCTGCTAGGCTTACCAGCGTTAAGCAAATCTGATATATAGGCCATTTTAATTTTCTTAAATACTGGAAGGTACTTGGCACTCTAGCAAAAATAATCTTGTTCTTTGCCACAAACATCAGGTGAACATGTTGGTAATACTGTTACTTTTCTCACCTGTAATTGCTACTTGGAAGTAACATAATTATTTATGCAGTGACTGTAATGTAATTTAAATACTATTTTTATAGTGAGTTAAAGTTGCCCACTAAATAAGTCCCCTGCCCTTCATGTCTACTCTGTGTGGGTGTATGTGTGAGCGTGTATGTGCAGTGTTACACTGGAATTTAGAAGCCTACTAAAAAGCCATCTCCTTGCTTTTTCCTTTCCAGTGTGCACTTTTTTTCAGCCTCAGGAAAAGGGGGACCAAGTTGCATGCCTATTTTTTTCTTTTATTTTTTTGTATAGACAAACAGAACTTACTTTTACTTAAGTTTATTTATTTGTATGTCACCTTGTAAATATTTATTTTTTTAATAGTGTACAAAAATGTACAGATAATGAAGTTGAAGATGTTTGACTTTGTTATTCTAACAGAAGATGCTGTAGACTTGAGGTGCAATAAAACTGTAGAGAAGGAATACTGTACTGAAGAGTAAGTTGGGTGTTTTGGATGGTAGAACAGAGCCAATTGTGCACATCACCTTTTAAAGTTAATTCTGCCCTTTGAAAAGTAATTCAAGTAACTGAATGCTGATGAGAAACAGTATGTATGTCCACCAAAATTCATATGCGATTTAGATGTTTTGAGTGGTGACTTTAAATATTGCTTTAAAGTATTTGGAAAGTGATATTGCAGCAAAGAGGTGTTATTATTTTACATTTTCAGTAACAGTTCAGCATTGTTCAAGATGATTAATGGTATTGACTGCAAACCAGAACTTGACTTTTGCCTTCTCTTGACTTTTTGGCCTCTCTGCTTTATTCTAGTAGGCCAGGAAGTTTGATGCTTGCAGGTAGTTACTTAAGGTGCATGGGTCTAAAAGTTGTTTTCCAAAGCTGTTAAATAATTATTTATAAATATTGGAGGCAAAACGGACCATTTATCTACCAGGATCATGCCATGGCACATGTACATACATAGAGATGCAGAATTAGGAACTAGAGCTACTGGAATATGCTAGTTTAGCAGCTTGAAAAATTCAGTCTATAGTTGGTTGTAGGCCAAATGTTTTTGTTCTGTGACCTCTCTGGAAGAGGCAGTGTCCAGCATTGTTCATTGTTCTGTGCAAATCTGTAGTATTACCTCTGTTAGACCTAACAAGGCAGACACGGGGTATTACATAGGTAATGCTCTCTCTTTCTCATTGCTAGGTAATCAAAAGTGTGTGTATATTTACCCACAGTTATTGAGCTAAGTATAAGCAATCAGTTCAGTTTAGGAAGAGAGGAAAAAGTAATATATTTTGGGGACTGTTGCTTCCTCTGACTATAGTGCTCTGAGTTTTGGCCTGTATAAACTATGAAAAGTAGTGGAGGGGGGTAGGTAGACTCATTATCGTAGGTCTACATTCTGCTTTTTTGTCTTAATCAAACTCAGGTCTACCTGTAAACTCACACCAGAGTTCATTACTAGGCATCTTCTATAAGAAACAGGTTTGCAGCAGGTTAGATGAGTAGAAGAAAGAAGGGCCCCGAATGAGAGAAATGACAGCAAAATTGTTAATAGAACACATAACCCAAGTTTTCTTCAACTTGCTATGAAACTATGTTTTCAGGATTGTCCCTTTAGTTCTAGAGTTGTCTTTAGCATTTTTTTAATAACTAGTGATGAGACTTTTTTTTTTTTTTTTTTTGTCTAACCTTCCCTAATGAGAAAGAGTTAGAGAGATCAATAAGATTTGCCTCTGTGAAATACTTGCTGTGATGTTGTTTGAAGTACTTCCATCTTTGCACAATATAGTCCTATTGCATCCAAATTTCCCCTGCTTTCCATCAGGCTTCTCTAGGAGATATTTATTCCGAGAGGTATTAATCAGACTACTTCACTCCTGACTTTTGTATTTTGCCCATTTATACAGTTTGTGCCCTTTGCAGGAAAATGTCCTCTGTATGGACATCTGCTGTCCAAGGAAATTTCTCCCACAGCTGTGTATTCTATACTTTGCTTACAGAAGTGTGTTGGCTTGTATCAAAATGTACAGGTCTTTCTCATATGGTATCTTTTGTTATTGTGTAATAGCATTGTGGATATTTCTGATGGATTTTATAAGCTTATTGTGATTTGTTTCATGTTTTTAAAATAAAGATTACAGGTCTAATTAATAACTGCCATGGGTTTTATCTTAACAATATAGTTCATAGGTGTCCAACCTTTTGGCTTGCCTGGGACCTACCGAGTGAAGAATTGTCTTGGACTACATATAAAATACATAATATAGTTACTGCATGTAAGTAATAACTTATGCACAAAAACATAAAACTAGTGAAGTATATGACCTTGTTTTTTGCAAAACTAATGCATCGATCTGTTTTGGCAGTGGTGGCAAACTTGGTGAGATCTCAAGGTGATTATCGGAGATTTTTGAAATTTTACTTCACTTGTACTTAACTGTTGAAAATAGTTGTTTACAGATGTGCATACTGCCCAAAAATTGAAGACATGAATAAGGTGTGACTATGAATTGAGATTTTTCTGTTAAGATAGGTCTGGAAATCTACTTAAAAGGAGGGATCAGATTTTTCTTTGAGTTGAATATCTGATTGCAACAGTAAATTCCATTTGAGAGTTCACAGGTACTATGTCTGTCAACTGAAAATGGAGTTGCAGATATACAAAATGATTTTTTTTTTTTTTTTTTTTTTTTTAGCAGTCTTGAAAACTTCAATTCCTTTATCAATAGAAAGGAGGGCTGCTTGCTTGTTGTTCAGAGGACAGGTTAGTCAGTGTATCAACATGCATAAAATGATTTGCCATAATTTGAGTTGGCACTGCACTCTTCCTATGTGCTTATTTCAGTCCAGATAGTGCCAATTGCACACTGATATTTGCTTCCTGCTGAGTAATAGGTGCATGCTCAGGGCTGGACCTGGCTGGTTGGTGAGGAAGAACTGTTGCCACGATGGTGTGGGGCAAAGGTTAGGAGGCCGTGGAGGCCACAGGCTGTTAGCTGGACATACTTGCTGTAGTTGTTTTGTACTCCTAACAAATGTAGGCTATATCCTGGTATGTCACAAGCTCTTTCTCTGGATAGCTCAGCAGCCCGGATTTGCAATTTTATTCTAGTGTAAAGGGCGATTTCCCTAAGCCTTCCATGCTTAATAGCTTAATGAATTCCTTTACTACTACTCTTCCTTAGTACAGACATACCTCTTACCAGGATTTGGGGGTCCTGGTAGATGAGAAGCTGGACATGAGCCAGCAGTGTACACTTGCATCCTGGAAGGCCAACTGTGTTCTGGGCTGCATTAAAAAGTGATGGCCAGCAGGGAGAGGGAGGTGATTGTCCCCCTCTATCCGGCTCTTGTGAGGCCCCATCTGCAGTACTGTGTCCAGGCCTGGGACCCCTGGTACAACAAAGGCACAGAGCTCCTGGAATCAGTCTGGAGGAGAACCACTAAGATGATTAGAGGGCTGATCATCTTAGTGCACCTCTCCTATTAGGAAAGGTTGAGGGAACTGGGCTTGTTTAGCTTGGAAAAGAGAAGGGTGTGGGGAGACCTCATTGCAGCCTTCCAGTACTTGAAGAGAGCATACAAACAGGAGGGGAATAGTGATAGGACAAGGGGGGGATGGTTTTAAACTGAGGAAGAGGAGGTTTGGGTTAGATATTCACACAGAGGGTGGTGACGCACAGGAACAGATTGTGGATGCTCTATTCCTGGAGGCATTTAAGCCAGGCTGGATGTGGCTCTGGGCAACCTGGTCAAGTGGTTGGTGACCTTGCATATAGCATGGGGGTTGAAACTAGATGATCACTGTGGTCCTTCTCAACCAAGGCCATTCTATGATTTTTGTGATTCTTAGCCCAAATCCCCTAAGCATGGCCTTCAGCAGTACTTACCCAAAATTTCTTGGTAAGGGGAGGAAGTGATTAGAGGAGCAGGATCTGGGCTAGTGGGTGGTAAAGAAGAAATTTCACTGCCTTCGCAAGCAGGGACTAAGAGCAATTCATCAAAAAGTATGAAAATATCCCTCTTAGGAAGAATATGGAGGAAAGTGGGGAAAAAAGAAAAAACAAAAAAACAAAACAAAACAAAAAAAAAAACCCTGAAGACAACGAGCTATGCCAGAGGTAAGCCAGTACAGCTTCAGCATCAGCAGATACTGCACAAAGTGTGCACATCAGCTGGTTTGAGTACTTAAAGATTTTTTTTTTTCCAGTTGAAGTATTAATTACACCCAAGCCTAACAGTTCTCATGGCCACCACAATTCCACTAAAGGTCATTTATCGCTGAGATAACGTCATCATAACAACAGAGCATCACAAAATGTCATTTATTGACACTTGTTTCCTTTTTGTGTGTGTTATTTCCAATGAACTTAATTGTACACCAGACACGAGAACAGTTTATGTGAAAAGAAATGTGAAAACACAATTTATTGGAACTGGATTTTATAGATGTCTGCCTTGTGCACAAATCTTTGCATTTGATTTTATGTTACAGACATCTCATTTGTGGGTGAGTCCATGGGCATGTTCTTTCTCCTCTGGAGGCTTGCCAATGTGACTCCCATCTGCAAGAAGGGTTGTAAGGAGGACCCAGGGAACTACAGGCCTGTTATCCTGACCTCAGTGCCAGGGAAGGTTATGGAGCAGATTGTATTGAGGGAGATCAAGTGGCAGGTGTGGGACAAGTGGGGGATCAGGCCTAGCCAGCACAGGTTCATGAAGGGCAGGTCCTGCTTGACCAATATGATCTCCTTCTATGATCTAGTGACCTGTCTGGTAGACAAGGGAAAGACTGTTGATGTGGCCTACCTAGACTTCAGCAAGGCCTTTGACAACTGTCTCCTACAGTATTGTTTTGCAGAAGCTGGCAGCCCATTGCTTGGACAGGTACGCTCTTGGCTGGATAAGGAACTGGCCGGAAGGCTGGGCCCAGAGAGTGCTAGTGAATGGAGCTAAATGCAGCTGGTGACCTGTGATGAGTGGTGTTCTCCAGGGGTTGGTGCTGGGGCCTGTCCTCTTCAGTATCTTTATTGATGACCTGGATGAGAGCACTGTGTGAGTTTGCAGATGACGCCAAGTTGGCTGGAAGTGTTGATCTGCCTGGGGGTAGCGGGGCCTCCAGGGATCTGGGGAGGCTGGATAGCTGGGCTGAAGCCAATGGAATGAAGTTCAGCAAGGCCAAATGCCAGGTCCTGCACTTCATCAGCAACAACCCCAGGCAACGCTACAGGCTTGGGGTAGAGTGGCTGGAAGAGTAGGTAGAGGAAATGGACCTGGGGGTACTGATTGATGCCCGGTTGAGCATGAGCCAGCAGTGTGCCTGGGTGGCCAAGAAGGCCAATGGCATCCTGGCTTGCATCAGGAATGGTGTTGCCAGCAGGAATAGAGAAGTGATTGTCCCCCTGTACTCAGCTCTGGTGAGGCCGCACCTTGAGTGCTGTATCCATTTTTGGGCCCCTCAGTGCAAGAAAGACATTGAGGCCCTGGTGTGGGTTCAAAGAAGGGCGACAAAGCTGGTGAGGGATCTGGAGCACAGGCCTTATGAGGAGTGGCTGAAGGAGCTGGGATTGTTCAGTCTGGAGAAGAGGAGGCTCAGAGGAGACCTTTTTGCTCTCTATAACTACCCAAAGGCAAGTTGTAGTGAGATGGGGGTTGGCCTCTTCTCTCATGTAACTAATAGAACTAGAGGGAATGGCTTCAAGCTGTGCCAGGGGACATTTAGGCTGGATATTAGGAAATACTACTTTTCTGAAAGAGTGTTCAGGCACTGGAATGGGCTGCACAAGGTGGTGGTGGAATCACCGACCTTCAAGGTGTTCAAGGAATTTGAATTTAGTGTTGAGGGATATGGTTTAGGAAGAACTATTGGTGATAGGTGGACTGCTGGACTGTATGATCTTGAAGGTCTTTTCCAACCTTGGTCATTCTGTGATTCTGTGTAAGGGCAGAGCAAGTCTGAGGCCACCTCATGGGACTGAATGTGTACAAGTCTATGGAGCCAGATGGTGTGCTTCCCAGGGTTCTGAAGCAGCTGGCTGAGGTGGTTGCCAAGCTGCTCTCCATCATAATTTAAAAATCGTGGCTGTCAGGTGGGGTGCCAGATGATTTGGAGGAAAGGTCACGTCACTCCCATTTATAAGAAAGGGAGCAAGGAGGACCCAGGGAACTACAGCCTGCTCAGTCTCACCTCTGTACCTGGGACGATCCTCTGGGAAAAACAGATCCTCCTGGACAACATGCTTGATGAATGTCTGATCAGAGACAGCCAGCAAGCCTTCACCAGGGGAAGGTTATGCTTAACCAATCTGGTGGCCTTCTATAATGGAGTGATGGCATTGGTGGACAAAGGGAAAGCAACCAATGTCATTTACCAGGACTTGAGCAAGACTTTTGACATGGTCACCCACCGCATCCTTATCAAATCTGTGGATTTTATGTGATGGGTGGACCCCCTGATGGATAAGGGATTGATTAAAAGGCCACAGGCAGAGGGTGGTGATTAATGGTTCTACGTCCAGGTGGAGGCTGGTAATGAGTGGTGTCTCCCAGGGGTCTGTCTTGGGACTGGTCTCCTTTAACATCTTTATAACATCTTTATTAATGACATCAATGACAGAATTGAGTGCACCCTCAGCAAGTTTTCTGATGACACCATGTTGAGTGGTGCGGTTGACACGGTGGAAGGAAGGGATGCCATTAAGAAGGACCTTAACAGACTCAAAAGGTGGGCCTGGGTGAAGCTAATGAGATTCAGACAACAAAGTGCAAGGTTTTGCACTTGGGTTGGAGGAATCCCAGGCATTTAAACAGACTGGAAGGAGCAGTCCTTGAGAGTAGCTCTGAAGAGAAGGACCTGGGGGTCCTGATGGATGAAAAACTGAACGTGAGCCAGCAGTGTGCTCTTGCAGCTCAGAAAGCAAATGGTATCCTGGGCTCCATCAGAAGAGGGATGGTCAGCTGGGACAGGGAGGTGATTGTCCCTCTCTACTCTGCTCCTGTGAGGCCACATCTGGAGCCCCCAGCACAATGAAAACAGAGAGCTGTTGGAGAGGGTCTGGAGATGCCACAATGATCAGAGGGGTTGGAGCACCTCCCATCTACAAAGACAAGCTGAGGGAGCTGGGCTTGTTCAGCATGGAGAAAAGAAGGCT